TCTTGGGTGGTGAATGTCTTTAAATGGAGAATTAGACAAAATACATAGATAACCAAGTGTTAACACATAATGTGACTAAGCTTATGGTGTAGATCTGCCTGCAAATGAGGACCTAGAGAGGTTCATTACAGCTGTGGCCAGTAAAAGAAAGAAACTTATTGTCTGTGTCTGTGCTTTAATATATTTACCACTAAATATGAGGCAACAACATTTTTTTTGGATGGATGTACAATATTTTGGAATAACTCTTGTCAATCTTTCAGCTGTAGCTGTTCTTTCCATATGAGACTGGAAGGCTGATATGAAAGACATTCACATACGAATGTCAACTGATGTGACATTGGCTCAACAGCCTGGAAAGAGCATTTTATAGCACATGGCATAGCCAGACTCATCTGCTTGAAGGGAAAACTTTTTTTTTTTTACAACTGGTCCATCCATAAATAATGGTGTAAACAGGAATATATAATAGAAGTCACTTTTTCTTTCAGATGTAAGATGTTAATCTGATGCAGTTTCAGAGATCTGCTGTGTACATAAAGCAGGTACCTTGGATGCGATGATGAAGAGAGTTGTCTCAGCATTCAGCTGTGCAAGGGTTTTGGCAATGTGTGTCCCATCAATATTTGACACAAACCACACACGTGGTCCACCCTTCGAGTAAGGCTTCAGGGCCTCAGTCACCATCAGGGGGCCCTGCAGGTCAAATCAATTGTTCAAATTCAGAGTGCACAGGAGTGAATGTGTGTGGCTGTAAAACGTATAGTTCATTGACATTCTGAAATAAAATTCATCATATATCCATCTTTCCATAAATTGCACTCACAAGGTCAGATCCTCCAATGCCGACATTGACAACATCTGTGATGGCCTTGCCTGTGTAGCCCTTCCACTCGCCGCTGCGAACTCTCTGCAACAGATGCAACAATGCAGAAAGCTGCATCAAACCTTCATGAGCAGGATTACTAAACTCATACTGTGAACTCCAGTGCAACAGTCCCTTGTGATCTCTCTGTTGGTGCATTTCACTCACATGACAGAAGCCCTTCATCTTCTCAAGAACTTTGTTGACATCTGGCATGACATCCTTGCCATCAACCATAATGGGAGTGTTGGAGCGATTCCTCAGAGCCACATGGAGCACAGCACGGCCCTTCATATCCACAGCACCAGGAAACAAAAACAGACATCTTTACACTCAGCACTTTGGCATCGATCTTTTACTGCTGGTGATCAAGAGGTAGATTCCGCAGCTGCTGCATTCATTGTATTCAACGTTTATTGTTTAACAAGCCAAAAGTGCTCTGACAGTAGCTGTTTCACCCCAGCAGGATAAATGTCATGTGGTAAACACTAACATAAGTCAAGTTACAGCTGACATATGGTCAACAATGAGCACCTCAGTGAAGTTGATCTTGTCTCCACTGAACATCTTCTCTCTGGCAGCTTCAATGCCTCTGGACTTGGCCTGGAGAAGACAATGCATGTGGGTTCATTACAGCAGCAATTTAATATCTTAAATCCAATCCATACATTCAATTTGTATACATAAAAAGAGATACATAAAAAAGCCTGTATTAAATGAATAGACTCCCACTTACAGCTTGATGCAAGGACTGGTTTACCTTACAGCTGCCCCCTTCAGCTCTTGATCAAATTGTATTTTTAATGAGCTAATAAGCTAATATACTATAGCATTTAAAAAGCCCTGGATAATCAAGATGGAAATGAATTTACCAGATCAACCAACATCTTCATGACTTCATCAGTGATGAGATTCTTGGAGTAATCCAGAAGAATGTCTCCATCCTCAGTTTTCAGGGTTAAGCTGTCAGAACACAGAAAGACATAAGTAACGAGAACAACAAAGATTTTGACACTTTCCAAGTATATATATATATATATACATATAAATATCCAAACAGGATGATTCTGTAGTCAAGTGGTGGTTTGACATCAAGGTTTCAATATTATGTAATGAAGCTGCACAGTTGTATAACAGGAACGCAGTGAGTATTATCATGTGAACTTGAGTGCCAATAGGTTATAGACCCGGCAAAGTCATTCTAATAATTTTTATTCATCACTTTACGTACATACAAAATATGTGCAACCTGTTCAGGTATGCTGTGCACTTTTACCCAATAAAAGTAGTTTTAAAAGGATGTGTACCTGAGCTTGTTGAATCTCTCTTTGTCAGCCTCAAACATATGCCTCATGTTGAGGTTCAAGGCATGGGCTGTGTACCAGTCCTGCAGCTTCTGGAAGTTGGGGTCCTGTGTGAGTCCCATTATGTCCAAAGGGTCTTGCTGTACTCCGCTGTGCTCAACTTGCCTGGTCGAGTGGGACCAACAGGTCAGGGGGAAAGCTTTTTGAAGGGCGTCCAGTCCAGAGCCCCTCCTACAAGAGCCACACCATATTCAGGGGTTGCACATGTCACACCTCCACACTGTTACAGTACAGTAACAGTGCATGTTGGTAGAGGAGCGTCACCAGCCCAGCAACACAGTGGCGTGTAGTTCAATGTGCTGCTCAGATTATCAGAGAGTGGAGTATTACAGTTCATTCTACTGTTGCACTCACTGTAAATACTTCTGAAATACATACATTAGGGTATGGGAGGGTTATTCATCGTCTGTTTTGCAGGTCATTTATTACATACATTTAAAGTTATTGTTTTAATTTACATATTTATCAATTAAGGAACAGAAGATTGATATCCACATTTCCTCCGTCCATTTCAATCAGGCTGAAGCGATTTACTCATTTATCAAATATTCAGTGTTGTTTTTAATGTATGGACCAAAATATCTTAAGTTCATATGTTGTATACAACTGTCCTGTACTGTGTATTGTTGTGGTTTTGTAAATTGTATTGCATCACCATAGAACTGCGTTTTCTGTGTTTTTACTTGTTAATAACAATAAAAAGTGTTATACTCTTATGCTTAGATCAATATCACCAGTGCGGTGAAGCATGCTGTATATTTTATAGTGTAGGCTATGCACAGAATGTTTTATGTAAAGGTACATACTGATAAAGTCAAGTTACTGATTCAGTGCAAAGTGTGCAAATTCTCTATCTGTTATTATCAAAACAGAAAAGTTGAATCCTTTTCCAAAGCATTAGAACACATCATGGCATTACTATCAGGTACAAGAGTAAGTTGTTTCTTTTAAAAATGCTTTGGTCTCTGTAGATTGGAATTAGTCAATTTTTAAGAATGAAAGATAAATATGGCGCTGCTCACATCAACTACCAGTTGTGTCCAACAGCAATGTGTGGACTTGAACGCCCCCAAGTGACTGTTTTTTAAAAGTGTGGTGTACAGGATGTAATATTCTTTATCAAACATTAGAGGGCGAGAAAAGCTTAGCTTGAACCAATTCTTTTTTCTTTTTTTTCCTTTTTTTTTTTCAAGGCACAGAATCTAAACAACAAGAACAACCGCAAATGGTTTAAGTGATTTGACCAAAGATGAATACCACAAAGAGGTTATCTGAATGAAATCTTTAACAATATGTATCAAAAACATTGCTAATGTAGAGCAAAATACAACAGTAGAATGAATGTACATCACCAGCATAATAAAGTCCAGTAGATCCTATGTGATGACTACTGCATAGAAACTCACTTAAAAAAATATGAAAAGAAGACTTCAAACGATCATAATAGCATTTGGTCACCCACTTTTCTTTTTAGAGTCTTTGTCATTTTTAGAGAGCAGCTTTACTGGGGGAAAAACTGTGAATAATGCTCACACCTTTTCATATTGTTTAAATGTGTGTGTGGTGCGGAGGTTATAACCATCTTAATTTCGGAAATGGCATTTTTACTTCAAAATAAAGGTGGAGCTGAGGGCATTAACATAGGAAATATCCTTAAAAAAGTCACAAGAGTAAGTTGGTTCTGGTGAATATTTAGACTTAATACTTCATATACCTTTATGACACTAAATACTTACATTGATGAACTGTTGTCTCTTTTTCATTTTGTTATGTCACATCTATCACAGAGTAAATGGCTCAGACGTGAAAACCAGTAACCAGAAAAATAGTTGTGTTTTAGCATCCTCAGGTCCTCTGATAGTAAACTGGTTCTAGGTTTACCCCACTACAAATTTTCAGTAAAAATATGTTTGAATATGCTTATGGTTTTACTTCCACTTGAATAACCATGGTTGTCCTACAATGTTAATCCTAATACAATTGCTGCATAATCCCATTCCCATTTAATCTAACAGAAAATTCCTCTACGCCACTGGTTGTCTTTTATCGCATTGGACTATTAAATTGGTAATTATATGCGGCAATATGAAAAATAATATTTGTAAATGACATAAAAGAAAATGCAAACTTATCCCAGCTGGTACATCAACTTGGCCTTGTGGTTTTACTCCATCATATGTCTGTGTAACGGTTTTATTGTGAAGGTTTCACCGGAAGTGTCCGTTGTGGTTGCCGTGGTGTTAACGGTGGTCACACAGACAGGGGATTCGCTGTCAAGAGGGTGGATGCCGAGAGCTGGTGAGCGATGTGTTGATTAACTTAACGTTTAATAAGATTCCCCTTGTGTTTGACTGAAGCTGTGTGGTTTCCTTTGGGTTACGGTCGCACCGGCTGCTGTTGGCCTGTACCGGAGAGACACCGGGCCGCGTACATTAGCTCGTGCTGTCTACCAGCGCTTTACAACCGTGTCGCAGAGAGCTAGCTGGGTAGCTAACGTTAGCTCGCTTAGCTATGTAGCTAGCCTGCCTAGAGCCGATGAACCACCGATGCGTCCATTATCGGACACACCTCACTCTGACATGCTTATTTCCATTTAGCTTCATAACTGAAGTCTTAGACCCCATAAGTAGCCGGACGAATGTTTTCGGCGGGGACTGCAAATGCATGGGACGTTTTTGTGTAACTATACACGCATATTTTGGTATATAAACCCAATTTGATGACTGCTGATGAAGCGCATCCGCCGAGGCTAGCGAAGGAGGAGCGATTGGCGGTATCGGTTATTTCTGTTTTCATTGCCACTGGCTTGTATCTGTGGGCGATGCTTCAGATGTGATCCATGTCTTGACAACAGATAACCATGACAATGCAGGTAAGGCAGAAGATCAAGCGGATGAGCTTTAGCATTTGCAGCGACCTGGTTTGACTGCATGTCCGATAACGGACCTGGGCGTTCTTGGTTGTAAGTTACGCGCTGCAGTCGGCGATCGCCCACCGCACAAAAACGGTATGTAGGTGAACATTGGACGAACGGGCGACAAAGGCTTGGTGTACAGCTCGTGTGGCATTGTAGCTCGTGTGTGTGGTTGACAATATTGATAGGCTGCATAGAAAGTGCACTAGCCTGCTAGCTAACAGGCGAGGGTCTGGTTCTGTGCGGCCAGTGTCAAAGTCGGCAATGCAGCGGACCCGCGGTACCGGGTGGTCACCGTCGGTGTACGCTGAGGCGTTTTCGTGTCACCCGCCTCTCTAATGTTTGCTGTGTTGATGCACTGATGCCGCGGAAAGCCTTTCCGGCGACTCTGCATGTAGGGCGTTAAAAGGCCGTATTAATAGCTGCGACATAGTGTTCCCATGACTTGGGCCATGTCATCCCGGAGAGTTTCGATGAAACCGGCTAACTGCGCTTGCGGGGATTTTGTTACACCTTCCTGCTAAATAGTGATCGGGGTTTAAAATAATCCCTTAGCAAGTCTAAAACTAACAAACTAGTTAGTTGTGTGCCTCATTCAAGTTGCAGCATTCAGTAACTAACAGTATTTCGCTGTTGCATGAACAAATCGCCCAAGTGTAGCCTTGCTGTGTTTCATAGCGTATAGAGAGCAGCACTAGTGCTACAGAGGTGTTGTAATCTTATACTCCGATGCATTTCTCAGAAAAAAATCCGTCCAGAAATGGCAATTGAATGCTTGGATCATGCACCAGAATATCTAGCAACTATTTCTTTCATCCGTTTTCTATAGATTTGATTGTGAAGAATGGCTCTGCGGACACAAGAGCGGTAATTTACACAACCATATTGACTTTATATACGTGGCTTTACATAGTCTCTACAGTACACAGGAGATATCTGGAGTTGCATTAATAAATAACGTTGCCCCACTTCTTTCTGGTGGTGTAGATATCTGCAGTCTAGCCAGGGATCCATGTTTTTTGTCATCATGTGGAAGTGTTTCCTGTTTTGGTTGCTCAAAGTGGAAATTAAAGAAGTAGTGACCATTTAGTTGGCTGTAGGATTTGATTATATATACCAAGGAGATTGCTATTGATCACGGTCAGTGATTGAGGGTGTGTGCATTGGATGTTTAAGGAAGAATTAAACAAGGCTGCAAGGTTGGTATAAGCAGTCAGTGTGCTCAGTTTTAATCTGAAAGTCAACTTCTATTGTCATTATATCGTCCATATTTTACCGGGAGGGAAGTGCTTGTTGGACATCAAATTTAGCTAATTTTGTTCTAATGTGGTGAAAGAGATTGATTTGTTTTTGTTACCGTATAAGTGTTGTTAACAGTGTTGAGAAATGTTCCTGTAAAACGTTATGGGCTTTTAAACATTGAGTAATATAGGAAGTTGTTTGTGTTGTTTTCAGTTATAGGATCGTATAGACGTTGATGATGTTGAATAAGGCCCGATACAGTTGTGACTAAAGTTTAATTTCTGCTTCAGACGGAGGTGTTCATATTCAGGTCATTGTCTTTCTTTTGTTGAGTTTTGCAGGCTCATACAGCTTTTATTGAAACAATCCTGGACCTACATGTTGACATCTGCCGCATCTGTGTCACTATGGAAGTACGTGCTTTGCTCTGCAAAATTCCTGCCTGTTTAAACTCATTCTTTTCAGTAGCTTATTCAACTGTGTGCCTGAATGGTCATCGCAGTTAGTGGACTAGTGCTATGGCTCCACTGCTCTTTCTTTCTCTTTTTGTTGTTGTTCCCAGTATTCAACAACATGTGATATGACCAGGAGTCACTTTACCTTAGTCTAACATTGAATCCGGATGCATGTGTGAGGAAGTCGACATACAGTCACAAGATTACTGTTTGCGCTTGCCTCGGGTGGAGTACAGTCCTGGCCTGTGCTTTAGGCACTGCCTCCACAGACCTGAAAGATGTTTCCTTCAACAAAGGAGCTTTCTAGAGTTTCTCTCTGCATAGTTTTAGATTATATAGATGAGTGATACAGAGGAGTCTCAGCTGGGGGAAGGGATGAGTTAACCCAGGCCATGGTATTATTAGAACCTGGGATTTCTAACAGGTTGTATAGATTTTTACATTCTCCTCTCAGATTGGACCTGACAGATCAATTGAGGTTATTTGCATTTTCTTTTTAAAGTGACTATCTGTGGCTATTCTATCTCTGAAGTTTTAGATTTTGACAAAGCTGACTTCATCAAGATTATATCAAAGGAACAACAGGTGTTACAAGAAGGAAGCTAAATGTTACCTTTTGTTTGTAACTTCCAATAGACTGTACCTTACAGAAATATTCTTGGTTATTTATGGCTCAGTTTTACTTACGTTCCATGGCAGGGCTTAAACGTATAGTTTGATAGTAACTGAATAAAGTTATTTTTTATCACTCCTAAGTCTGACTGATCCTGGGGAAAGTGTCCCGTTCGGAAAAAATGGCAAAGGGGACACTGTTGGGATGCAACGGAGTCCTGTTTCAGGGCTAATACATTTTGTGGTATTGAATTGGTGCACAGTCACGCATACTCGCCGATACTGCATTTTAGGCAAAATCGGAAATTCCTCAGATGGTATTGGAACAGCTGTTTATCCGCATATTATACATTTAATGTACTTTTTGGTCCTTTGAAGGAGCAGCATGTTTTTTTTATGGCAGTGATTCTTTGTTGTTAAAAGTAATTGTGACATTTTAGGACACTGGCTTAGAGGCTCTAAGGTCTAAAGTTGTGTGACAGCATGTATTTCTAAGTACACACCATAAAAGGTAGACTATTGCAATCCAGTAAATATAGTAAAAACCAATATTACCACTCTAAAATGAATGATAACAATGTAAAGAAGATTGGATGAAATAGCATATTGAATAAAAGCATCACTGTATACGTTTGAACAAAATGGTCACCATGTTATCGGTGCCAATATTTACTGGAAAATCCAAATACTGTTAATCAAAAATAAGAATAATATTGTTCTGTCATAGTTATGCCATGTTATCCACCTTTGGCCTGAGAGTTGGAAGGAAAGGATAGTTTGGATGCAGCTCCATCAGCAGGTTAGATAATATCCACCTACAACAAGTTTAGCTGACCCAGGCATCAGAGAGATGCAGGCTTGTTTGAGTTTGTATTGTGTGACAGGATTTTCATTTGGATGCACAAAACTAACACCACTGTTTACACTGGTGTGTGTCAGGGGGCGGGGGTCTGCTTCTAATGTAACCGGGGATGTTTCAGCTCCACATCTAGTCCGCTGCTGTTTCATCTACTGCCTGGTTAGCACAGCTTATTTTTTACCCATGTACAAAATGGGCTATTTTCTAGGCAGATTCAATAAGACGCCAGTCCTCATCCAGAAGGGGAAGCAGCTAGCGGGTTTACAGATAAGGGGGACAAGGCTTGAAGCATGGGAAATCTCACCCTTGTCTCCTGGGAAACCAGTTTAGCCTTAGCTTGTGGTCAGCTATTTGCCCCTCAGTCAAATGTTCCCAGTGAGATGCATGAATGCTCGTGCACTAGAGATGATCAAATACAACAAGACTCAAGCCTACCACAAAACTCTAATGTAATGTGATACTTATCTTTATTAATCCCTGCAGGAAATATTTTGCTTGTGCTTTTCCACAATGAGGTTGGAAGTCAGGGTCGGCTACACAGCTTAACAGTGAACAGTGGAGTAGCTGTTTGAATCAGGGTTTACAGTTTAAAAGTAGGCTATGGTTCCTTAGTTCCTTAGTCCACCACCCTACTATATCTTGTTATTATCATGCCTGTCAAAGTATTCTAAACATACTGTAAAAACTTCTAATAATAGCCCATGTGTTTATTTGCTTAAATCACCGAACTCATCCAGCCTTCATCAGGGACATGCGTTTAATTCCTTTAGCACAAAACTATTGCTCAGCAAAGATTGGAAATACTATCTGATTGTGCTGCTTTTGTTCAGCAAATTTGACAACTAACAGCTTGACTTTCAGATCGTACTTTTTTCTCCGCGCTGCTGCCATGACGCTTGTACGTGAACACTGTTTTACGGCAGCGGGCACCCAGCAACGAACTTTGCATGACAATATTCACAAGTTGGTTCATTTTATTGAAACCCTTTGATTCTTTTGATCAGTAGACCCTTAAGGACTAAAGGAATATAAATAATGGAGGAATGGACAGACTGTACTGACTTTATGACCGCTTCAAAGGTTGGGAGTCAAATCTGAATGAATTTCCTTTAGTTTCCTTTAAATAAATAAACAAATGATTGAATTATGGAGAATCTAACTGATCTAATGATGTGGGGCACGTCCATATTGACAAAAGTTTAAACATTATATTTGTGTAGGTGCTCTAAGCAGCTTAGAACTGGCTCATGGGGGCGACATGGTGGTTTTATACATCCAGATAATTTCTACTAAATCCAGACCAGGCCTCTAATTGAGACCTGCCTTAATTTGTCAAAATGTGTAGCAACACCAGGCTAATAAAGGGGACCTGTTTTACAGAAATCTCAAGCCAAGTGAAGGAGACATTTGTTTCTCTTCGGTTGGTTTCTGTGACTTGAAGTCTTAGAGAAGTTATTCTGATTCATTTTGCCCGATTTTAGTGGTGTTAAATTTACTGAAACAGTTTTGCTGTTTGTGTGACCAAGCCGGAATTTCTGACTTCTATGGCACCCACATATCCTGTCTCATTGTGCCTAAAGTGGGAGAATAAATTCTTACTCTTGTCCCGGCTAAAAATACAGCACCCTGGTGGCTGGCATGCAGCACAACTTGCAACCTCAGTATATAGCCTGCTCAGTATAGGCTGAGGGAAGCATTTTCATCCAGCAGCCTTTCATGAATGGAACTGACGTCAGAGCCTTTCATCACAGCTCTCCTCTCACTTGTTGAAACCCACCGGTTGGGCACAC